TGTGGCGGCAGAGTTTCGTCCTTGAGCACGACCAAGTTGCCCAGTCCAATGGTCTGAGGTATTGGATCCTTCCATTTTGATCGTTGCTGGAGCTGGTGCAAATAGTCGCGCTCCCATCTCCGCCAAAAATGTTGAATCGCCTGCAACAGTTGAAATCTGGACAGGCGACTGACCTTGACGTCCGTGACGTCAGGATGTATTATGTCAGTGGTAGGACCTCCCGTAAGAAAGTGTCCTGGAGTGAGGGGATCGAGATCTTTTGGATCTGATGACAGAGGATGGAGTGGTCTAAAGTTCATGCATGCCTCGACCCGGGCCAGCACGGTGCTAAACTCCTCGTAAGTGAGGCGTATCTCACCAATTGTTCGCAGAAGATATTCTTAGCAGACCTAATTGCACTCTCCCACAGTCCACTGAAGTGTGCATGTGGAGGCATAAATCGCCATTCGACACCCTTCGCGATTGCATGGTGACCGATCGCCTTCCCGTTTTGGAGGAATTCGCGGATTCGATGTAGTTCGTTGTACACGCCCACGAAGTTGGTTCCGTTGTCTGAACAGATCTCTCGGCATCGCCCCCAGCGCGCGAGGAACCTGCTCAGACAGTTCAGGAACGCTTCTGTGGTTAGTTCCGTGGTCGCCTCCAAATGAACCACCTCAGTGGCCAGGCATACGAAGACGCACAGATAGGCCTTGAATGTACTCTTACTTCGGGACTGTTTCTTGATGAGGAACGGTCCGGCGTAGTCTACCCCCGTACTGAAAAAGGATGCTTGTACCCGCACTCTTGCCGCTGGTAATTGGCCCATCTGATATCCATCTGATCTCTTCGGACCTGGGTTGTGCCCGACTGCACCGCATGCACCTCCGAATCACCCCCCGTAGTGTGCTTCTCGCTGAAAGAGGCCAGTAACGCCTACGAATTGATGATAAGACTGCCTCGCATCCCCCATGCAGCAGTCGCTCGTGCTCACCGCGCAGGAGTAACTTGGTGAGGTATTCCCTTTTTGGAAGGATTATTGGATGTTATAGATTGTATGATAGGGCAGCTCATTCCAATCGCCCCTCCCCCCACCCTTTCGTCGAGGAAGGGACTCAGACATCTCAGGGAGCTGGATCGCGCCAGTCCCCTTCCTGACTTCAGATCCGCGATTTCCTTGGCAAACGAATGTGTCTGTCACCATCCCATGATGGCACCCTCCGCGCGGTCGATCTCCGCCCCGGTGAGAATGAGACCCGAGTGGTCGTCCGATTCTGCAGAAGTTTTCGATCGTCCTCCCAAAAGCCGTGCGCGGACTGCGCGATTGAATTTTATGCAATACGCGATGATTCGCGTGAGTCGCGTATAATTTGAGTACCTGTTGAAAGCATCAAACTGTGGTTGTACTGTTATGGACATGCATACTGGAGTGCGCTCCTCGGGTAGCTCACTCGGTGCCGGGCAAGCCCGGGGCCAGTCGTCCTGCCCCCGCCACAGCCAGGAGGGACCATCCCACCAAAGACGTGAGTTTTGTAAGGTGGATGGCCTTACCCCTCGCGATAGCAGGTCAGCAGAGTTGTCACCCGTGGGCACGTGACACCATGCGCCGCGCGAATTCGTCTGAATCTGCGTAACCCGGTTCGCGACAAACGTCCTCCAGCGACTAGGATGACTCCCTATCCATACGAGGGTGATGATGGAGTCGGTCCAATACATCTCGCTCTCGAAGCGAATGCGAGACGACGTTCGCATCTTTTCCATCAATTCCGACAACAGCAAGGCCTTGCATAGTTCGAGACGCGGCAAACTGATCGTTTTTAGGGGAGCGACGCGTGACTTCGCACAAAGTAACCGAACCGTGGGTTCCGTATTGTTGACGACGCGTAGGTAGACGCACGCGCCATATGCCTTTTCCGAAGCGTCACAGAAGGCATGTAGTTCCACGGCGGGGCACTTACCGCACACCGCGGAATAGCAATGTATCTTAGGGATCCGAGTTCCCCTAAATAATCGCTAAACTGCGTATGAATGTCTTGGGGCACAGACTCGTCCCAAGACACTCCCAACTTTCAGAGCTCCTGGAGCAGTAGCTTCGCGGGAAGTACTGCGGGACCCATCAACCCGAGAGGATCAAAAATTCTCGCGGTCTCCGACAGGATTGTTCGCTTGGTTATTCGGACGGTAAGTGGGTCGTTTAACTCAATAGTCAATTGATCTGGAACCGGCTCACAGCGAAGACCGAGAGTACGAGGATCTTTCTCGGGTTGGGGGCCCACGACCATGGATTCACCTGTGGCACTTTTGACAACCGAGGGCTTATTAGACGTCCATTTCCGTAAATTGAATCCCACTGCCCGCAAGAGAGCCTGCAGATCCCCCTTGAGTACGATTGCTTCTTCCACGGTGTCTGCGCCCGTCAGGAGATCATCCACGTAGAAGTCGCGGAGGATCGACGCGCTAGCCGCCGGATGGCTCGCGGTATTGTACAACCCCACCTACCGTAACACCCGTGTGGCCAAATAAGGAGCTGAGGCAGTGCCGTAGGTGACCGTGTTCAACTCGTATGTCTCGATCGGATCCTGGGGGACCTCCCTCCATAATATGCTGATGAGGAGCGACCAAGATCTGTCTATACATTTTCTCGATGTCTGCAGTTAGGACTACTCGATACATTCGAAATCGAAGTAGGATCGAAAAGGTCCTCTTGGGTCGGCGGTCCGACCTGCTGCAGATCGTTAAGGGAGATCCCCGTTGAGGATTTTGCCCAGCCATCGAATACCACTCGAAGCTTAGTGGTCGTACTGCTTGCCTTGAGCATCGGATGGTGCGGCAGGTAGAAGGCAGGTCCGGTGGGTACCTGACTAGTTACATTGATCTTGGCCATGTGACCCAAAGCCAGATAGTCGTTCATGAATTGCAGAAACCAGTCGCACAGTTCAGGCGCATTCGCGAGTCTCTACTCCAGAGCGCGAAATCTTCTCTCGCGCGAATCTCCCAGTTCGCACACGTCTCCCGCGAAAGGAATGGTAACTACATAGCGATCACTCGACTCCTTTCTCACCGTTTCCAGAAAGCGACTCTCGCAAGGATGAGGCGCCATCTCCCCGATCGACACACCCTCCAATTTCCAGAATTGTGACAGCTGACGATTCAGCTGTTCGTTCGTAATGACGCTACATATCGCTGATTCCGAACGCGGGACGTTGGACAACCATCTGCCGAACACCCACCCTAGCTGCGTTTTTAAGAGGCTTGGCAGCCCCTTCCCCAGCCTAATCCGTCCCACGGACATGATATCGCATAACTGGCCATTGCTAATTATGAGATCCACCCCGCGTGGAACATCAAACTGGAGATCCGCCAGAGGGATATGCGGCGGAGCGCGAATCGCGGATTCTGGGATCCGGGTGTTGGATATGTCGCCGGTGGTGACGTCCATGATCAGGCACGGTAGGGTGGTTTGGAATCCGCTGCACCTCAATGATATCTGCAATCGCGCTAAACCGAATACCGGTCGATGATCCCCGATACCACGAAGAGTTATTCAATAGGTTTTACGCGGCAGATTGAGACGTCGCAAAATGAGGTTTTGATAATATCTACTTCCGAGCCCTGATCGAGTAAGGCTCGGCACTCATGTTTCCCATCCTCCTTGTCCGTGACGTAGACAATGGCAGTGAATAACATGACCTGATAGGGCATAGGGTCCCCATCAGATCGGGTCGCGCAATAAGTCTGCGGAGTGGCACTCGCGGGCGCCTCCGCCATGATATTGTCGGTCGTTGGTGTGTTCGTGGGCTTCTTCCCCAGATGGAGCAAGGTATGATGCCTCTCCTTGCACTGTTTGCATGAGCCACTGCTGCACTCTTGGGCTCCGTGTCCCGAACGGAGGCAGTTGAAGCAAACTTTCAACTTCTTAGCCTGAGAGATGCAGGCTTTAATCGCGAGCGCCTTGAATTGTTCGCACCGCGCGAGTATATGATTCGAAGCACATTGCGGGCAAACCGGATTTTCCGTGGTCACCAAGGCGACGATTTTTGCGCGCGATCCCTGAGACGACGAAGGTTTTGATTTCGAAGTGCCCGCGCGCTTCTCCAAGGCGGTCAAGGAGGAGCATTGTTGCTTGAGAAACGACCGCATGTCCGAAAGGGTCGCCAGCCGGTTCAGATTGGCCGCGGTCTGCACCCAGCTCTCAGTTATTTGCGAGTAAAACTTGCTCTCCAGGAAATATATGATCATCGGGTCCCAATTTTGGACCTGGACCCCCAGTGATTCCAGTACCTGAAGCTGGGCAGTACACTCGTTGAAGAGCCGTCGCAGGTCCGCTGCCGACTGTGATTGCATTGCGGGAAGTTCGAACAACCGTGATAAATGATGCTTTACGATGGCGTTGGTTTCGTCGTAGTTGCTACGCACGAATTCCCATGCGGCCTCTTCATTGTCTTCTGCTATCCGAACCAATGCTAAGAGTCGATGTGCTTCACCCTTCAGGGACGCCTTGAGGTAATGGAACTTCTCTATGTTGGTGAGTGATTAACCATCGATTCGAAGCTATCGCGGAAATAGATCCACTTACCCAAGTCGCCGCTGAAGGATGGTATAGAAACCGGAGGTAATTGTTGTGATCGAAGTGGACGCGCGCGCGGGCTCTTTCGCGGATACCGACGCTGCTCGAACAGAATTCAAGTGATCTCTAACTTCAGACGTTATGTTGTGGAAGGTTGCCTCGAATTCCTCGTTAATCTGGATGTAAGCCTCCTCGTCCGCCGTATCTCAGACGAGAGTCTCAATTCTGTCCCGCACGGGTTTAAACCTATCCATGAGCTCCATTGCCCGGTCCAGCAGTTGCTGAAGGGCGGAAGCCGAAACTAGATCACGATTCGTCTCATAGTAGGCCCTAAACCGCGTCAGGCTCGCCTTAATCCGACCGCGTTCCTCTACCAGTTTGCGAAGTTCGTCGTTTGACGGCGCCATCACTGACCCAAATAAAAGATTGAAAAAACTCTAAACTCACCGGATTGATGGAATCAAGACGAGTATCGCCTGTTCAGTCCCCGCTGCTGAAGCTGGATGAAGGCCGAAGTCCGCTGTCCTTGATCTCGAGTCCTCCCAGTGAGTAGTCTCTCCGACGTTGCTGAATCCGCCGAAGATGAATGCCGGAACTCCGTGCTTGTTCGGAAATTCAGCTCGAAGAACCAATGGTTTCGCCGCTGCCGAAATAAGTCGCTTGTCGACCTAATACCGGTGGGCGATGTCTTTTTTGGAAGGCTGTGTCCCAACTCAATATCACCGTGTCCGACGGTCGGAGTCACGGTGTCCAATAACGATTGACTCGACTTATGACTATGACCTATCTGATGGAGAGTCGGTGCGGTAGTCGTGACTGCCCGAGAAGTATTCGGTAGTGTAAACTGCCCGAAGGTCGACTCTCTTGCTGATTGGGAGTGTCGTAATTATGAGAGGGGAAAATATCGATGCTGTAATTGGGCATCGACATTCCTTGTTTCGAAATATAGGTCCAGGGAGGGAGGCAGATGGTCTTGATCCAAGACACTCGACAATTTAAGCGACATAAACACAAACCAGAGCTGCAGCTGTCCCTGCTTTGTGTCACTAGCGCCTCGCCGTCGCAGTCGCAAGGAAAACTGTAACCGAAACCTTCTCGAGTATCCTGTTTATGGTCGTGAGGACGCTCTTGACCGTCCTGTTTATAGGTCGCGCTAACGCTCGCGACCACATAATAAAAATTGTCAAAAAGTAATGTTTATAATGTCAATATCTATGAGAATAAAGGTATAATATTTATTTTTAAATACATTAAAGAAGAAGTACAAGATGTTGATGATAATGGTGATGTACAAGATGAATACAAGGACAAAATACAAGATTATGATGACAAAGATGTACAAGATGAATGTGCGATTAAAGTACGGGATGATAATGAGGATGATGAAGTACAAGATACTGATGAAATACAAGATGTTGATGATCATGGTGATGTACAAGATAAATATAAGGACGAAGTACAAAATAAATTTGAGGGTAAAGTACAAGATGATGATGATGATGAAGTACGAGATGATGAATATGAGGAGGAAGTTCATGATGACGATGATGCTGAAATAAAAGATGATGATGATGATGATAAAGTACAAAATGATGATAATAGAACACAAAATGACGAAGATGAGGATGAAGTACAAGATGAAAATGACGACGATGATGAACAAGATGACAAAGATGATGAAGTACAAAATGTTGATGATGATGGTGATGTATAAGATGAATATAAGGATGAAGTACAAGAGGATGATGAAGATTTTGAAGTACAAGATGAATGAGGGGATGAAGTACAAGATGATGATGATGGTGTTGAAGTACAAGATGAAGATGATGAAGTAGAAGATGTATAAACGTATTAAGTACAATATGATGAGTATGATAAAAAACAAAATGATGATGATAAAACACAAGATGATGAAAATGAGGAAGAAGTACAAGATGTTGATGATGATGTTAATGTATAAGATGAATATAAGGATGAAGTACAAATTGAAAATGAGAATGTAGTACAGATTGAGGACGAAGAACAAGATGAAGAGTATGTAGTTAAAGATGATGTCGATGATAATGAAGTACAAGATGAATATGAGAATGAAATACAAGATGACTTTGAGAATAGAGTACAAGATGATGATGATGATAAAGTATATGATAATAATGATGATAATGATCATGATGTTGATGATGAAGTACATGATGATGATGATGATGATGATGAGGATGAAATACAAGATGAATATAAAGATGAAGTATAAGATGAAGATGATGAAGTACAAGATGATGGGGATAATAAAGAACAAGATAATGATGATGATGAAGTACACGATTGTGATGATGGTGATGATGAAGAACAAATTTATGATGATTATGTAGTACACGATTGTGATGATGGTGATGATGAAGAACAAGTTTATGGTGACGAAAATGAGGATGAAGTACAAGATGATGATGATGAAGTATATGATATTGATGATAATATACAAGATGAATGTAAGGATGAAATACAAGATGATGATGGAAAACAAGATCAGGATGAAATACAAGATGAAGATAAGGCTAGAATATAAAAGGACGATGAACTACCAAATAAAGATGAAGTGCAAGATGAAGATGAAGTACAACATGAGGATGAAGTACAAGATGAAGCACCAGATGAGGTAGAAGTAGAAGATAAAGTCGAAATGAAGTAGAAATTGAAGTAAAAGATGAAGTGGAAGGTATAGTGGAAGATAAAGTGGAAAATGAAGTAGAATTTGAAAATGAAATTGAAAATGAAGTAGAAGTAGAGGATAAAACAAAAGAAGAAGATAAAGTGGAGATGAAGTAGAAAATGAAGAAGAAGATGTAATGGAAGATGAAGTTGAAGATGAAGTGGAAAATGAAGTAAAAGTAGTAGATGAACTAGAAGATGATTTTGAAATTTTCATTCACTTTACACAAAAATTCAATTAAATTTGTATTATCAAAATTAACCATAATTTTATATTTTATATAAAATTTTTATATAAAATATATTTTGAGTATTATAATATGATACCATTTTTTTATTATGGAATATCATTTCCACAAGAAGTGATGTCAATTTTTCAATTTTTTTATTATTTTTTTGTCTCCTAGGATAATTTCATTTTACTTCATAATGATTAGAGAAAAAGGTAAATTTTAAATTATAAAATATTTATGTTTATGCAGCTATAGGCAGATTTGATAAATTTTTTTCTTATAAAAAAAAATATTCAAATATTTATTAATAAATATTTAATATAAAAGTCATTCATGTTAACTATGTCTTATTTCAATAATATATATTTTAATTTTTAATTTTATGATTTTATGAAAACTTATATAGCATTTAAGAACATTAGGATCCAAACTTCCTTCACGACTTTCGCAACAAAACACAATGCAGTAGATTATGAAACGTATTGTAATTTCATTACAAATTACTGCATTTATTAATGTCAATTGAACAAATCCACGATAATCTAGACATTTATCTCCAACTCTTCCACAGGAAAAACTCGAACAAAATTTTAAGAAGAATCTTTAAAATAAATTATTCATTAAATTTAAAATTAATATAAAAAGATAAATTATTCTATATATAATTTTTTAATATATTGCTTTATATAAGTTTTCATTAAAATCAAAATTTTCATAATAATTGAATTTTTTTATATAAAACAATATATATAAAAATTCTTGTGATTGACTATATATTAAATTAGTAAGTAAGACGATTAATTAAACTAATAATTGTCGGAGCATATCTATGTGTGTAATACAGTTTTAGATAATCCTATAATTTATATTATTGCATTTCATATGAAATATCACAGTTTAACTATATATTAATCGTTATTATATATATTCGCTTTAATCAATTTTTTAGTCTTTTCATTTCTTTTCCTTCCCAGCTATCAAATTATCCTTCAAATTGTTAGGTCTATATTACATTCCCTTTTTTTCTCTCTTAACATTCATTAACATTTAAAGATCATTACTTTTGTTATTAATGTTTCTAGATATACTCAAGAATACTGTTTACTGATCAAAATATCCATCAGATTTATTTTTATTATCCCTCATAAATGTATCTTTAATTTTTTTCTATCAATTTTATTTCTTCAAATACATTTCGTTTATCATATTAATTTGAAACTTCTATAATATCACAATGCCAATAATCTATATAGTATATCATTAAAATATTAAATATATTAGATAGATATCATATTATCTTCTAATAATATAACCTTTTAATAACATCACATTCTACTTGTATATTTTCAATACTATGTGGTAAAATTCTAAATTCTAAATTGAATCATTGAATCCAATTCTAATTTATTTCCATCTAAATATTCAAATGTTAAAGTCATCATTTCCAAAGATATGTATCTGTCAATTTTACCGTAGTCGGACTATCGATCTAAAATTTTAACGTAAAATGAAAAATATAATTTTTAATAAAGAATTAATACGAATCTTCTTACCAATTGCCTATTTTATTTTCTTCTTCATTACATAATACTCTTAACGTCAATGTTCTTTCGATATGCTTAAATCATTTTCATTTAAATTATTATAACGACTTTAAATTTTTCTCACAATTTTGTAATATTTGGCAAATGCACAAATACGCATAAAAATGTATGCAACGTTTACTTTGAGAAATATATGAGCTATATCTTGTAGTTTCCGTTGTTCTGTTGTTTTTCCTATACTTTCCTAAATTAATTTTTCACGTTGTGAATAATATTTTTAATTATAAATAAATTTTGTTTTCTTTTTTAAACGCTTATTTTGAACATAGAAGAAGAACAAAAATAACGATGTTCGATTCTGATGCCTGTTTTAATTTTCGAACAAAAAGAGAAAAATGAATATTTTTTACTTGATGGATGTTCAGGTCAAGCTTTACATTTTACTGCCATTTATATATATTTTTAGACTTACACGTTGTACTAAAAGATCCAAAATTTCTATAGTTAGTATCCAAATTTCCTGCTTCGTTTCATTATTTACGTTTAAAGATGATAGAATAGAATAGCTCTAAAGTTAATAACTATACTTCCGCATAACATCTTAAGATATCTCTGTATATGTTGACATGCAGCGATGGGCACATTGGATGAATTTTTATAAGAAAAAAAATTCAAATAATTATTACATAAAAGTCATTTATGTTAATTGTGTTTTATTTCAATAATATATAGTTTAATTTTTAATTTAATGATTCTATAAAAATTTATGTGACACTTTAAAGAATACTAGGGTCCAAACTTTCTTCACGACGTTCACAACAAAACACAATGCAGTGGATTGTGAACTTTGTCATTTCATTACAAATTGCGGCATTTATTAATTGCAATTGAACAAATCCATGATAATCTGGACCTTTATATTTAATTCTTCTACAGAAAAGACTTGAACAAATGTGCCCATAATAAGTTTACATATGCTTCTGTTCACAATTTTCATTTTTCATCATATTTTTCTTTAAATATTGGCATCACAGTATTTGTTTTTGCACAACACAAACTATGAGATCCATTATAAATTCCATATTTTGGAATATTTTTTTATATTTAATTCTACGTAGTGAGAGAACTTTGCCTCTAAGTCAGTAGCTTTCTCACTAGACTTAGCTAAATAATATTAATCTTAATTAGTAATACAGAGAATTAAATCTTATTATGGAATAAAATATATATTAAAAATAGATTTGATCATTTTTTTGCATGATAATATTTAATGTAACAACTCATACACCAAATTCCATTATATCTTTTCAAGCATGATCAATAAATTTTTCTAAACTTTGATCCTCCTGTTACCTTTCATAATATGTTACACAATTCCATTACATCTCTTTATTTGGAAAAGTATTTCGTTTGTTTAGATGCATTCATATTCAAATTCACATTTAAATTTAATATATAAGTTGAGAAACGAATAAAGACGAAGGGAAAAATTAAGAAATGATTTTTTCATTTCTTCTTCTTCATTATTCTTTTCCTCTGATATATCTTTTATTTCATTTATTGATCTACTATGAATTTCAAATATTCTGACTGTCTTCGAGAAATTAATCATATATCATAATATTATATTATTATATTATTATAATGATGGTAGCAATAATTTTTTGTGAGTTAAAAAAAAAAATTCTATATGCTTTATAATAAATTTCAGCAATTTTCTATTAAAAGAGTGCGTTCCTGCAATGAGACAATATGCACTACAGATTCATATTATACTATATTGTTATATCGAAAAAAGTTTTTTTTCATCCCGATCAAATATCTACAAATAAATTCTGAGTTCTTTAAATTTTCTTTTATAATTTAACTAAGATAACAGTCCTTCATAGTTCACTAAATGTATATACATTATTAGGAAGTGTATTCGAATCGACGTGAAAAAATATTCGAATGATGTTTTACATTGGCAAATTGCAAAGAAATCGTAACAAAATAAAAATGCAAGTCTTTAAAAAAAAAGCAGAAGAAAATACAGATAAAATAATCTGAAAGAAATGAAAATTTCATTTCAAATTCATTATTTATTATTAGATACATTATATAATATATCTATATATTTTTATATTCTTTTAAAGATTTTAAAATATAAAAATTTATAAATTATAAATCATTTGTTTTTTACTTTTTTTTTATTCAAAACTCATGGAAGATATCTTTTAGAAAAGAATTCTCGCTATTAACTATAATTACTGATTCATATTATTCAATGAGTTCAAAAAAAAATAATAGATCTGAATGGCTATCAAAATAAAGTTATTCATTAAACTCCTAAAGAAAATCATTTGACTATAAAAGACGGAATTACAGAGAATGCAAATATAGATTGATCATTCATAATATAACATTTATAATAATATTTAACATAATATAACACTATATATATATAATACGCAATCATTTAAACAGTTTAATATCAAAATTTATTTTATAAATATAATATGAATTATATTTTGATCATTTGCAATATAAATAAAAAAACATTTTATTGTATTATTAGCATCATCACTAATTAATATATCAAGAGGCGAATGGAATATTTCAAACGAATAGCATATTATTTATCTATGTAATTTATTTTGGCTAAAATTTAAATGTTTGTCTAATTTTTATTCTTCAAATATCTCATAAAAATAACAAATTTTTTCTACATGTATAAATTAACAGTAAGGATAGAATGGAATAGATTCGCAAATAGATTCAAATTTTGAATGATTCTTTGATTAATCTAAATATATATAGATAATATATAAGTAATAATATTCTATAATTATTTTGAATCTTTTATAAGTATTATAAAATAAAAACAATTGTACTTTCAATTGTAGAGTTAATATTCGAATCTAAACTAATATTTGAAATAAATTCAAATCTATTTTTCTTTTATGAATATTTAAAGAAATATAAAAACTATTTGCAAATAGACTCGAACACTTATATTATATGAATAAACTTAAAAATTGTACAAATATTTTATCAACAATTTTCTGCCAAATTATTGTTTCTTTTTTTTTACTTTTACT